CTGAACATGCAGTACTCATCATAAGAATCATTAAAAGCAAAGAGCTTATCCTTATATTCCCTGCAGACACAATGTTGTAATAATCACTCTCACCATTAGGAATAAGGAGGGAATTTTAATCCCTGGTGATTTGTGGAGCACAACATAACTTTAGTTGTCCCTTGAACTTAGTTCTTGGATCTCTCAGTCTGTAAGTTAGGTACCAATTATGATGATCTTAGTGTAAATAGCTTAATCCTCACCCCTCTCGATTAACTATACACTTGCTTCTTTGTCAACCTTGTTGTAACGGTAAATCCGCAATATATCTCTTTAAGATTATATAACTATTGAGGATATTCAATTTGAGAGCAATGCTCTACTGTATTATACTGTCGACGACAAATGGGTCATGACTACGTTATACATATGATTTGTGCCATGCCTATTGCAGATTGACTATCACAATGAATGCAAAAGTCTGCACACAGTTTGGCCACATCTGGAATGTCTGTCTAAGAATGATATTGAAGCTATCTCGCTTATTCTCCTGCTTGTCTAAGTAATGGAACTCGATCCATTGTGGATCGTGCGATGCATGTTGTTTCGTGGATTTCAAGAAACAGCAGCGCCTAGAGAAAACATATCCACTATGGAGAATCTTATACCAATACCAATTGCATCACCAATAACCTTCGAGTACCTGCCTGGATATCGAGTAAAGCTTCAAACCAAGATCACGGGTAATCTTAGAATCTAAGAACCCGAAGATCTTCCAGTTCTCCGGTGTTACTAGGGCCTACTTAATTTACTGACATGCCATGCATAAGCTATGTCAGGACGAGTACAATTCATTAGGTACTTTAGGCTTCCAATGATTTGGGAGTATTTTAATTGAGACACTGCATCACCTTTATTTTTTGATAAATAAAGATTGATGTCTACAGGTGTTCTAGCTAAATTCATATCATCCTTGATAAATTTACCAAGAATTTTCTCAATATAATGTGATTGAGATAATGCATATCCGTCAGATGTTTTAGTAATTTTCATTCCTAATATAACATCTGCGACCCTCATATCTTTCATATCAAATCTTTTGTTAAGCATCTGCTTAGTTGATTTGATCATATTTTGACTGCTTCCAATGATAAGCATGTCATCTACATAAAGACAAACTATGACATATCCTTGGTCAGTGTTTTTAACATAGACGCATTTGTCATATTCATTTATCTTAAACCCATTAGTAAGCATTGCGTGATTAAAGTTTTTATGCCATTGCTTAGGTGCTTGTTTTAATCCATAAAGAGATTTTAAAAGCCGACAAACTTTCTTTTCTTGCCCTGGTACTACAAACCCTTCAAGTTGCTCCGTATAGATCTCTTCATTTAGATCACCGTTTAAGAAAGCTGTCTTAACATCTATTTGATGTATTTCTAAATTAAACAACGCTGCTATAGCAATAAGCATGCGAATAGATATTATTCTTGTCACAGGGAAATATGTGTCAAAATAGTCCAGACCTTCTTTTTATCTGTAACATTTTACTACAAGTCTTGCTTTATATTTGTCTATTGAACCATCTGCTTTCATTTTTCTCTTGATTATCCACTTATATCCAAGAGGTTTAGAATCAAGTGGAAGATCCACTCATTCCCAAGTTTGATTCTGCATAGTGGATTCAATTTCATTATTAACAGCCTCTTTCCACAAAGGTGCTTTAGGACCTGTCATTGCTTCCTTAAAGCTTTGAGACTAATTTTCTAACAAGTATGTTAGGAAATCTGGACCAAAGGATTTTGATGTTCTTGCTCTCTTACTTCGTCTTGGTTCATCATCAGTTAAATCCTGTTGGTCGAGACCATTACTAGTCTTTTGTGTTTGATTGTCATTAGTCTCCTAACTTTGTGTACAATCATAAGTTCTTTTCTGTTAACTAATTCCTGTCCTTTCTTGTAAGGAAAGACATGCTCAAAAAACACAGCATTCCTTGACTCTATAATAGTGTTCACATTTATATCAGGTATTTTTGATTTATAAGTTAAAAACCGATATGCACTACTATTATGAGCATAACCAATAAACACACAATTTACTGTTTTTGGGCCAATCTTAGTCTTTTTAGGAACAGGAACTTCAACTTTTGCCAAACACCCCCGCACTTTTAAGTATTTATAGGAAGGTGGTTAACCTTTCCACAATTCATAACGAGTGTTGTTGGTTTTCTTGCGGGGTATTCTGTTAAGAACATAATTAGCAGACAATATTGCTTCCCCCACAAGTTCTGTAGTAAGCCTGAACTTAGTAACATGGCATTCATCATTTCTTTTAAGGTTCTATTCTTCCTTTCAGCAATTCCATTTTGCTGAGGAGAATAGGGTGCTGTAGTTTGGTGAATAATGCCATGCTATACACAAAATTCATTTAATGATGCATCATATTCACCACTCCTGTCACTTCTAACCATTTTAATGGTTTTACCAAGTTGATTTTCAACTTTTGTTTTGTAGAGTTTAAGCATTTCTAAGGCTTCATTTTTACTTTTAAGCAAGTAAACATAACAATATCTTGTGCAATCATCGATAAATGTTATGAAATACTTTTTGCCTCCTCTAGTTTGAACAAATTTAAGATCACACACATCTGTATGAATTAATTCTAGAGGTTCGGTTTTCCTTTCAACCAATTTAAATGAAGCCTTAGTTAGTTTCACTTCTACACAAATTTCACATTTATGATTACGATCAATTTCAAACTTTGGTATATAATCCAAACCAATTAATCTACGCAAAGTATCAAAATTTACAAGTCCTAATCTACCATGCCATAAATTTGACTCAAGAATATAAGCAAAAGATGTGTTATTCTTATTAATAGTAACTTTTGATACAACTGTCATTACATTCAATTTAAAGAGGCCATCACTCATGTATCCCTTACCAATATACATACCACTCTTTGTTAATACAAATTTATCAAACTCAAATACAAGCCTAAAACTATTTTTACTTAATAAAGAGCTAGAAACTAAATTCTTCCGGATGTCAGGTACATGCAGTACGTTGTTGATGGTCAGTTCTTTCCCTGATGTCATTTTCAAGATCACTTTTCTTTGTGCAGCCACAGTAGAAGTAGAAGAATTTTTCATAAAAAGTTATTCACCATTTGCAGCCTCATTGTAGGTAGTGAACATCTTCTTGTCTGCACATATGTGACGAGTTGCTCTAGTATCAACCCACCACTCCTTGGGATTTCTAACCAAATTAGCCTCAGACACCACAGCAGAGAGGTTGATGTCATTCACCCCGTCAGAGATGTAATCTAGTTCAGTTACATTGGCCTGATTGGTAGTCTTCTAGCTTGTATTTATGTGATCCTTCTTAGGGCGGTGGCAGTCAGAAGCTCGATGTTCAGTCTTGCCACAGTTATAGCATTTTCCTTTGAACTTCTTGTTGCCATTGTTGTCGCCTTCTTTAGGACCATCTCCAGTAAACTTCCTCTTTTTGTTATGTGGTTTGTGAACTTGTTCAACCACATTAGCCTTGGACTCAATGGGAATTTATGTTTGTTGTTAATAATGTTAATATGTTATACTATGCCTATAAACTATACCTATAATTTAATACTATTGATCTGTAATTGATAGTTGTTGCTAGTTGTTGCTAGCCTACAGATAGTTGTTGCACAGCTAGACACCTTCTTTACACCTTCTTTTCCTTTTGCTTTCATTTGTATATTTCCTTTGTTCATCATTTTGTCTTGTAAAACATCTCCTATATAATGGAGGTTCCATTTGGTTGCAATATACATACAAAACACAGAGCTAATATTTGCTCTCTCAATCTCTCTCAATTTCTTATATTATTAATTTAATATGAAACCTGAGATTCTTCCACTCTACCAATGTACCTGATCACATGTTATTGTAATCTCCAATCACAATCAAATTACCAACCGACTAAATAGTCAAAAGCTCTACATACACAATGGGATTTATTCAACTATCAATGTTCACATAATTCTATGACATCATATAAATCATGTAACGCTCACATTAATTTTCACACTGCAAATATGATAATTAACAGAAAACAATATATGTGACCTAATAAATGTTGAGAACAGAAAATTCCGTGCCACCTAACAACAACATCGAGCATTGTCTTTAAAAGGTGCATTCGTGTTCTGGTAATTGGGAGCATCCTCATCTTCCAATTCTGATTGAGGATCTTCCAATTCTGATTTTCTAAAACGGTAAAAAAGTGCCGTCACAATGTATAAACCAAGGTTCACAGCACTCAACCAAGCCAGTGTCCAATAATACTTATCAAGCCGACTATGGTTCAATGTGTCCTGAAACCAACTCTGTTTTCCTCCTCTTTCACTCACCTTTCCTGCTACATACACTGATAGAACACTCCCTATACTCCCCAACCCCCCCACACCGACACCAAAATGGATCACGTATGCTCTCATTGATGGCCCAACCTGTTCAAAAGAATAGATGATAACTTATAAGTAAACATGGAGAGAAGGTAAATCCTTAAAAAAACACACGACACTTATTGAAGAAGGAGGTATATAGTCACTGTCTGACAGATTTTCATTTTGAAATAAACTTGAAATTCTAACCCAACCTGATCAATAAAGATTGCGACAATGCTGTTTTCAAGAATCCCATTAAGGGCAACGATGAGTACAAACTGTGGAAGCAACCAGAACACGCTCATTGGAATTCTATCCTCTGGCTTGTCGATTAAACCTTGCGTCCTCACCACATTTAGCCTTCTTGTCTCAACTTTCGCAGCAGTAATGCAACATAGAATTGCAAAAACCATTGACACAGCGATGCCTATAAGAGGAGCATAGTGTCGCGCCCCCTGACCCGCCTAGCTTGTTGGCAAGCTTGTAGTAGAGATTGGCGAATTGTTGTTTGCCTTGGTCGTGGAACCATAGGAGGATGACGATGGGGATAGAGATTTTGCCAAGCTTGTGGTTCATGTGGTTTGCTTGCTCGATGAAGTATGTGTTGCCGGTGGAAGATACAACGCCGCAGAAAATGAAAGTCATGCACAAGGGGATCATTCGTATGGTGAGTTTAGTTTCTTCTACGTCCGTGACTCTGCAGAGTTTCTATCTCTTCTTCTGTTGTTCTTCTAGAGGTTTTGTTGGTAATATAATTGCAGCCTTGTCTAGACACCTGCATTTCAAACATAATATGGATCAGAAAGGTGATTCTAGGTTTTAAATGTACGTGTTGGCTTATGTCAAGCTCAAAATTAGGGTCCGTGTAACTTATCATGGTCTGTTTAAATGATCCGAACGATTCATTTTATAATTTTATATATATATTATTTATGAAAATAATTAGGTATATTCATTAATTGTAGCAATTTTATTTATCAAATTTGTTTATGAAAAATGAATGACAAGGTTGTTTTTAAAAACAAACGCGATAAAATAAAAATGTTATGATTAATAATGTCATTTTGGTAACTTTGATGGAGAGAATGAAGCGTAGCTTTACAATATTTAGGGACGAAATTGACAAAACTAAAATTTTAAAAACAAAAATAAGACACATGCCATATTTAGAGAAGACATTGCACAACTATAAAGTATTTAGGAATAAAATTGATAAAAATGAAACTTTAGAAATTAAATTACACGAAATGCATATTTCTTGAAATAAAAAGAAGAAATCCAAAAAGTTGAGAACCAAAGTAACACATGCCATCCTGTAGGAATTAGAAATGAATCTTATTAATATCTCGCTAATGATTTAAATGCCAGTATGAAATTCGACCAATTTAGATCAAATCAAAATTAAAAAAATGAAATTGTTAAATTATAAATTTAGATAATGGATGTGACATGGAAAGGTTGGTTCAAAAAAACAAAAAATGGCACCGAATACCTTAAACACAAATAACATATACAAAATCATGTGATTTTTTTTGTAATTTTTTTAATTTCAAATTAAAATATTCACTATTTAAACTCATAATTTTAAAAACGACATTCCCACGTCATTTTAAATATTTTTTTTTATTAGTAAATCATTTCTCATAAATAATTAAATATTTGAAATTGTAAATGTAACGGTTGAATATTTTAATTTTAACAAGTAGAGAGAGAGAGACCTTAGGCGACGGGAATGAGGCACCAAATCAACGTCATCAACATTATCATCACCGGTTTCATAGAGCCCATCAGCCTCTTCTGGGCACTTACAAAACATCTTAGAGGTTGCAGCCACAAGCACTCTAAACACGGTAGTCAGCGAGATCCCGCGTGGTTTAACACAATTATACGAACCCGAACCACTCAAGAATATCAGTGTCGCCACCACCGTACAAATAGCGGGTATGCCAAACCGAATTGACCATATCCTTATATATGAAATCGCCACAACTCCGCCTATAACGACAAAGATTGCCATGTATGAGGCCACAAACATGGTGATGCACGAGCGCGTACTGATGTTTTCAACGACCTCTTCTGTGACTTGCTCGGTCATGAATGTGGTTAGTGAAATTAGGTGACCAGATAGTCCCAGGGCTATTAGAACTAGTGCTGTGTAGAAGAGTATTTTTTGTCCCTCGCCAATGCATTCGGGCTCGTATAGACGCCATAATTGTTTTTCAATTGTTAGCGAGTGTACTACAATTTAATTTTGTTTGCATATAATATGGCAAAACGAAAGAGATAAATTACTTTGTTTGCATATAATATAGCAAAACAAAAGAGATAAATTATTTTAACAAAATGATTTGATTACTACTTGACAACAATCTTGGAAAGTTTGAAAACTTGAAAAATATTCAACTGATTGGACTGATTTCTAAATTGTTTTATGATTGAAATTAAGGCGGTGTTTGGGGAGTCCAGATCCCCTCCTTGAGCCCCCTCCTTCATTCCCTCCTTGCAGGGGCCTTCGGGTCCACTTTGAGACCCAGTTTTGATAATCTGAACCGTTCATATTTTTAGATTTATTCATTATAGTATACCTGTAAAAAATCAAGTTGATCGGATATCAGAAAGTATGCGTTCAGAAAATTGGGACTACAAACTATTTTTTAATAAACAGTTTTCCGAACACATACTTTATGATATTCGATCAACTTGATTTTTTACAGGTATGATATACTGAATAAATCTAAAAATATGAACGGTTCAGATTATCAAAACTGGGTCTCAAAGTGGACCCGAAGGCCCCTGCAAGGAGGGAATGAAGGAGGGGGCTCAAGGAGGGGATCTGGACTCCCCAAACACCGCCTTAATTTCAATCATAAAACAATTTAGAAATCAGTCCAATCAGTTGAATATTTTTCAAGTTTTCAAACTTTCCAAGATTGTTGTCAAGTAGTAATCAAATCATTTTGTTAAAATAATTTATCTCTTTTGTTTTGCTATATTATATGCAAACAAAGTAATTTATCTCTTTCGTTTTGCCATATTATATGCAAACAAAATTAAATTGTAGTACACTCGCTAACAATTGAAAAACAATTATGGCCACAACAGACACAGGAGAAAACCAAAAGGCATGATAGAAAAGTGATGGGGCGAATGAAATTTTTTATCATTTATTTAAATGATTAATGAGGTGAGTAATGGTGTGAGAAAGAGAAATAATTTAAAACTTAAGTTTTGTTTCTCATGATTCGATTTGGTGAGAATTTAAAATTACTTTTTATAATGAAAATTATAATATCTAAATTACTTCTCTAAATACAAAGTAAATAAAATAAAATGACATGTCTTTTAATTATTATCCATTCATACAAAAAGATGAGAAATCAGAATTATTTTTTTTTTGGTAAATTACACAGACACTCTCCGAAATTTATGTTTATTATAGTTTCTTTCTTACCTTTTGAAAATTACATCTCCCTCCCTAAAATTTAAAGTTTCATTACAGATTCTCCCTTCAGTAATTTAGTTTTTTTAAATACCAATTTTGCCCTCACTGGATAAATTACATTGACACCCCTCACATTTTAGAAATTACTATTCCCTCCTTAAGGTTTAAAGTAACATTACCATTTGCCCTCTTGGTTAGTATTAGTTGAAAAAAAAAATAATTTGAAAAAAAAAATTAATTGAAAAAAAATTTGTTAGTAAATTTTTTAAATTTCTGTTTAAAAACTAACGTAAACTCATTTTTTAAATTTATGTTTTTTCTTCCAATTTACAAACTGAGACAACCATTTATAAACCAAAAAAATTAACAAACAAGTTTTTATGACAGTTTTTAAATTTTTATAAATATAAATTGAAAACTGTAAACGAAATGGTTACCAAACAGGTTTCAGATGGTGAAAATATTGTAAAATTTACAAATAATTAAATAAGTTACCAACGAATAAATGACTTATCAAAATAGTCTTAGACTATGTATGGTTTAATTTTTAATTTTTTAAAAAAATTTTTAAAACGAAATGATTTTTTTTCAATTAATTTTTCTTTTAAATAATTTTTTTCCCAATTAAATTTTTTTTTCAATATTTTTTTTCCAACTAATACGAACTGAGGAGACAATTGGTAATGCTACTTTAAACCTTGGGGAGGGGATTGTAATTTCTAAAATGTGAGGGGTGTCCATGTACTTTACCCAGTGAGGGCAAAATTGGTATTTAAAAAAATTAAATTGTTGAGAGGGGAAATCTGTAATGAAACTTTAAACCTCAGGGAGGGAGATGTAATTTTCAAAATGTGAGGAGATAAACTATAATAAACATAAATCTCAGGGGGTGTCAATGTAATTTATCCTTTTTTTTCACCTATGTGAAAAGCTCCAATCATTTTCTTTTTTTTTTCTTCTCATCTCGTGATCCAAACTAAGGATTGTTTTGGAAAGTAGATTCAAAGTTAGTTTTTTGGAAAATTTACCCATAAGTCCTAGTTTTTGAAACGTTGAACCATTTAGTCCTAAAAATTTTCTTATGCTCCATTTAGTCCCATTTTTACATCAACATGATGTGAATGATGTAAATGATCTGATGTTTCATTTTATAATTTCAAAATTTATTGAAATCTGATGAACATTAGATATTTTTCATCCTATATTTTCAAACATTATTGAAATTTGATGAACATTAGATGTTTGAAATCCAATGTTTGTAACATGACTCTGATGTTATTAACATTGTATCTGATGTTATTAACATTGTAATGAGACCTTTCAGTCTATAAGAAAACTTTTAGGACTAAACAGTGCATAAGTTTTTAATTTGGGATTTATTGGTGCATCCCCCTAGTTTTTTTGACTTTTTTTAGATTTTTTTTTTTTAAATATAAGAAAATAAAGAGATAATGTAACTTAAAATAGGTTTAAAAAAATAGGCCTAAGTGTAAACGCTCAACTGCATTGGTGAAAGATTGGGAAACGAAAACTATGTATGTTGTCTAATAGCAACACAAGAAATGGTTGGAGACTTCAGCACAAAGAGAGAAACAAGCAGAGAAAAACATATGTGAATTGTAAAGTGATCTATATAGAGCTCGTTTAGGAAGTTAAAGTTTGGAATTTTTTGGTTAAAATAGTCACAAAAAAATAAAATAAATTTTTTAGTTCAATAAGATAAAACATTATATTAAACCCATAATTATTACATTATTTCTCTCACAAAAATTTTAAAAAGTCAAAAAATCTTTTATAAATGAGACTTTTTAATTCCAAGTTAAAATAACCAAAAAATCAAAAAGTTAAAAAACCAAACCAACTTCCCAACCAAACCCATAATAAATTGAGATTATGTTTTACATATGTTATTCTAACTACAACAATGTATTAGGTATACAAATAACAAAAAAATATTATGATTAACAATTATGGTGTTTGGTCTGCAATTCATCATGGACAGTTTAATTTTTGTCAGCAATTCCAAAACTATGGTGTTTTGTTTCTGAGTTGAGCAGCCCTTAAATTGCTTTACACAATGCGTTGCAGATTTACACCTTCACAAAACAGAAGAAAATTGATAGATGAATGTAAGGTCAAGTTTGGGAAGATTAAATAAGTGTATTTTTTGTCTTTTTAAACTAAAAGTTAAGGTTGAAAATATGAATGTTTGGGTTAACTTTTTGACTTTTTATGGAAAAATGTGTAATAAAAAATTGTAAAAATTGATTTGTAGGAGAAAATTAGAATTGAGAGTTGTGCAGCCGTAATTGTTGACTTTTGGTAAATAGTGATAATTTTTTAACTTTTTGAGTACCTTTTTGGCTTTTTGACTTTTTGGGGTGTTCCCAAACTTGGCCTAAATGTATTAAAATGACTGAATTTGTGACCTGTGTTCAAAATGAATAGATATCAACTGCAAAATGCACACAAAATGCCGCACACAAAACATAACATAATAATATTAAACTCAAGGACGGTCCATAAATTCTTTTATTTCTGTGTGTGCTCTGTTTTCTGACAACATTGTTAAACCGGTACTTAGTTAGAGAACACCGGCAGAATAGATTGCGCCCGAACGACCTGTCACAGAAAGAAAAAAGACTCCGTCGGTGGTTCTTCCACCCGGGGGCACTCCGACGATCAAGTCAATAATCAATATCTCTCAAAGATAACCAATTATGCTTAACTCACAAGTTAGAATACAAAAAGCGTATTTTAGACCCACAAGGGTGCCTTACTTTTGTTGGAGGAAAATGGTTGAATAAGAAATTGCCTCATAAATGTGTATATAACTCACATTTAAGGCTCATCAGTTTTACAAAATTGATCGGGCAGTTTTGCTAACATTAGTTGTCAGCTTTGATGGCTAGAGGCTCCTCCCCTCTCCCCCATGGTATATAAAAGGAGGCCTTATTCCTTGAAAAGAGATATAGAATTTTTCCTTGACATCCTTACACTGTCAGTCTACTTCTCCTATAATTTTCTTCCTGAGAGAGTGTGCTGCCGTTGTCTGTTCGCTAAGCTAATCAGAAGGTGCTTCTGTTGTAGCTGGTAAAGACCGTCGTATCTGGTAAAAACCGTCGTATCCTGGGAAGTAGACGCCGGCGTACCTCCAGCACCCAACGGTGAGGTGGCGAATCTATTTTAAGGAGACTATGGTATCACACAGGCTTCGGTTTGCTTCCTTTAACCATTTTATATTTTATCTGTATTTTATTCAGCATGTTATTTTTCCTGGGATTGAAGGTTTGTTTTGTTCATCTCATAATTTTGCGATATGCAATGTGAAATTATGTAATGTGAGTAATTTTTCCCAACAAGCTTAAAATAGATTCAACGTTTATCATATAATTAGATTAATAGATTCATAGGTGTGTGTAATAATTTTGCATGTAATTGGCCACTAGTAGTACTAACGAGTTAATTAGTTTATTAGATACATGTACACAGGGTTAAGCTTTTGATTTTGCCATTTTGTGTATGCTACTGTTTGGTCTTCCCATGGCATGGAATAGGCCACTGTTATCAATAGGGAAGAAGAGTTCCATTGGTGCAACGTTAATTCACTGTATTTTCTAATTAATTTATTAATTTATGGTGTACCGGTTCATGCCTTGTATTTCTAGATTTACATGCTTCTAGTTCACATGCTTCTAGTTTACAATATAAATTACATGTTCATTCGGGTTTAATTTTTAGTGTAATTTACATTTCT